AGCTGGCAATAAAAATCGCGCCTCTTGACATACACCCCTCTTGGTGTATGGACAGATAATGGAACGTGTGGGTGCCCTCACCCATGAATTGCACATAGTTTGAATTGGAAAAGCTTACACTTTGGTTCAAACTCTCGTAGATGTCGATACGTTTGGTTGCCTTTTTCTGCTCGTTGTTATTGTTTCCGCCCATTTCTATCCTGTCACGAAGATACTTCACAGCTGAAATAATGTCATTGACAGAAAACATCACCACCGAAGACTACGGAAATAAAGTCATTGATACCCTGGCATTTTGCTTGAGGGCCAACCTTGTCCCGAAATCTACATCATTTTCAGAGCTTACCTCCAGTGCTAGGTGGAAGATCCATATCAGGCCGTTTTGACTGGCGCACGAGGGTTGAGGCCGGTGAGTCGTGCATTCTAGTGCGGATTTCAACCTCTTCCTGGGTAGCTGTTCGTCCCCGATTACGCTCTTCGTATGTGTAGCGAGGCTGGGCTTGTCTTTTTGCTTCGGCATCGCTGACCTCTACACGTTGATCCTGGAAAGAAGCTTTGGAAAAACTTACATGAACCAGCACCGCAGTACAATTTTGAATGTACATACTTGGTCACTTCTGGACTTAAACTTGTACTCGGTGATTTTATAGACTCCTCGATCAAGTACCACTGGCCGAGGATCGTCGCGGACTCTTGGACGAACCACATGTGGCACTGATACTTCGTCGTCTGATTTGTTGAGTGATTCCCTCGACTCTGCTACTTCCGCATACGGATTGTATGCTTTTTCTTTGCCCCACTGAGCCTGAGAAGTGCGCTGCGGGGGAGCAGGCTCTTTAGTCGAAGAATAAGAGCTTTGAGTCTCCCTCCTATAGCCATTCTTATAACCACTGGACTCAACTGGAGCAGTCGTGGTGGCGGTAATCTAAAGTTATCCATCGGCATTAAGGAACGACGAGCAATTCTGAAGATACCTTCTCCTCGCGAGAGACATCCATCTGTGGCTCTTCTGCGAAGTAATCGGTTTCCACGGGTTCTGCTGGATAGTCGTAGTCGACCTTGTCAAATGTGAAGGAGCGCTCTCCCTCGCTCTATAACAAAACCACTCGGATGAGTTCAAACAGTGTTTTGAAAATTTGTTCCAGATTAACGATGCCTTCCATCAATTTGAATATGTGACGATCGTATAGAAACCGCATGACAGGCCTTTACTTAGAATATTGATTTCAGTTAATCCTTTGAACAATCGTAGTATGAGGTGACGACCCAAGCCAAGGAAGTCAACAAACTTTTGGCAGTTGTGAGTCAGTCGCTCATGTTATTCCCCTAGGCCGAAATGATTCAAAAAAGTAATCCGATCGCATCAGTTTTTGTAGTAACTTACTTTTCTTTGCAAATCGTTGGAATAATAGAAATTTTATGAAAATTCGCTGGGCTTCATAGGCCCGCATTCCTCCTCACCTCAAAGCTAGTATCAGGTTCTAAGTCGCAA